AAAAAAAATGTATTTGTGTGTGTGTGTGTGTGTGTGTGTGTGTGTGTGTGTGTGTGTGTGTGAAAGTCAGAGTACAACTTTCGAAAGTAGGTTCTTGCCTTCCACCATTTGGGTTCTGGGAATTGAACTCAGGTCTTCAGACTTGGCAACAAGTATCTTTTAACTTCTAAGTCATTTTGAAGGCCCTAATTCTCTTTCAGTTTTGTAAAGGATTGGAATGTGGCTTGTGCATTATGGGTTCAACCTTCAATATCACAACAGTAATAATTAAATAAAAATAAAGACATTGGGTGGTGCATATTATATGTCACTATCCTAAGTGGTTTACTATTTAATTCTCACAACTCTATGAGGTAGATGCTCTTATTAACCTCATTTTACAATCCAGGAAACTGAATTGTGGAATAGCCAGGCGCTCACCATGTGGCAGAGGCATGATTCAAGCCCGGGTGTCCTTATTTGCTTCTGTCAACAAAACAAATCAGTAGCATTCTTTGTTTATCCGTAAAACCGTTTTCCTTTTGCACTTCAGTCTTACAACATTTTGGAAAGGTGCAAACAGCAATGTTCCAAAGCTAAACACAATGTACTTTCAGAGGTTTCCTCTGGTCTTCATCCAAAATCCATGCCATTTCCCAAACATTAAGAAAGAAAGGAAACTCCATGCTTTCTATGTGAGCTTACACAAACCTGAATTTCCCTCTCATGTTGAAAGTGGGGACCTCTGTGGTAAGCAAGACTTTGTGGCTTAGTACCCACTCATTTATTCATTTCTATAGCTCATAGCTATTTAATTCCTGTGGTAGCTCATTAACTGTTCAAAGAAAGGAATTGAGTCAGGGGCCAACGTTCTCTCCAGTGCCCAGGACAAGATTTGGCACATAGTAGGTTTTTAACAAACATCGATAGAGTGAATAAATGATGGTTTGCATTGCTTCCAAGAATTAGAGAAATGGAGGCCAGTGCCAGGTTAATGGTTTCCTCTGTAATTGAGTTAGAGAGGCAATAAAAGTCATGAAAGAACAAGAGCAGGTCTGACCCGCAAAGAATATGAACCAGGCTCAGCAGCTTTGAGGATCCACTTCTCTGGAATCCGGTTTCCTCATACATAATGCATAGCCTTGTCCAGCTCTTATGAAGCTAATTGTGACCTTAAAGTCTTATTAAGAGCTGGGGATAGGCTGGGCATTGTGGCAGAGGCCTTAATCCCAGCACTCAGGAGGCAGAGGCAGGTGGAACGCTGTGAGTTCCAGGCTAGCCTGGTCTATAGCCAGTTTCAGGCCAGCCAGAGGCTACACAGAGAGCCTCTTTTGTTTGTTTGTTCATTTGTTTGTTTTTTCAAGAACTGAAGACGTAGCTCTTGCCTAGTCTTGCACACACAGGACCCTGGTTTTGATCTCCAGCTGTTTAAACTACCAGGGAAGGTACTTTCGAAGCACAGGTGTTGTCTGTGACAGAGGAATCTGAACAGACATTTTCAATTACTTAGCATTAGTTTTTAACTTAGTATTTTTTAACATGGACTACAAAGTAAAAAGAAACAATAAGCAACCTTTCCTGCGGAAGATTTGACCTGCCTGTGGTGCTCTCCATTCGGGAGTCACAGAACCCTAATAATGCAGATCTCCCGACAACTCTCAGAGGCATTCACTGGTTTTTCTTACTCTACCGTGAAAAGAAAAAATAAGTAAACAAATAAATAAACAAACAAACAAATAAATAAATAAAAGTGCCTTGGAACTATCTAAGATTTTCAGTGGAATTGCCGACATCCCTTCTCTAGTTGGCTTCATTTAAAATGGGTAAACTGAGTTCCAAAGAGGTGAGGCACAGTATCTAAGCGCTAGGTGCAGAGGGTAGGGAGCATCAACTTCAGGAGAGCAATTTAGAGACTGATGCACCTCCCTGGGGCGGAGCGAGTACCCGCCCCCGGACCGCTCGAGCCAATGAGCGTGGAGCATTGAGCTAGCCAATGAATGCGGGTGAGCATGCGACTGGCCAATGAGCGCAGAGCCTCTGGCTAGGCGGTGCTGGAAAGCTGCATAGCTACGCCGCGGCCGCAGCGACGGGCTGAGAGCCTGCGGGGGCGCGGACCCGGCTGGAGAAGAGGCTGGGCGGACGACAGCGGGGACCCGGCCTCGACTCTGAGCTGCGGCGAGGGTGCGCGAGTGCGGCGCACTGAGAGAGCCCCTGGCCACTTCTGGGGGCGCCCTGAGGGGGGAGCGGCCCGTGTGGCCCGATCCCGGGGCGCTGTGACCCGGCCCCGAGCATCTCGGGGGTCAAGGCGCGTCTTCGGAGGCCGCCCGGGGCCCAGCGCTGCTGCCACCGAGCCCCGGGGCGCCCCCTGGATGGCCGAGCTGCCCCCTCGCCGGCCGCCCGGGCGCCGCAGCGGCTGAGGTCGCTGGGATCGCCCGGCAGCCGCCCCCACCGCCGGCCCCTGCATGCCCGGCGCCCGGGTCGCAGCCCACCTGGACGCTCTGGGCCCTCTGGTCTCCTACGTGCAGCCACCGCTGCTGCCCTCTATGTTCTACGTGGGCCTGTTCTTCGTCAATGTGCTGATCCTCTACTACGCCTTCCTCATGGAATACATCGTCCTCAACGTGGGCCTCGTCTTCCTGCCCGAGGACTTGGACCAGGCTCTGGTGGACCTCGGCGTGCTCTCCGACCCCGGCTCTGGCCTCTACGATGCCGATTCGGAGCTCGACGTCTTTGATGGATATTTGGAGTAAGGTCTTGACTACTGTGCCCCACTTGCCTTCCACTATCCGCAACTCTTGGCCTGGACCAGCCCTCCATATCATGCCACTGCCACTAGTTGGGGGCACCATCTGGACCGGGATGGGACCCCAGGAAGAGGCCCGTAAGTGCCCTTGAGATGGGGATGTATTGCGGGGGAGGGAGAAGGTGATGTTCTTCCTCAAGCTTCTGATTTCTCTGGCCACTTCCTCTAGGTCTAACTCGATGCTAGGAATAGAGGAGTCTGGAGAGCTTCCCCCAAGGAAGGGGACCCAGGATCTACATTAACATTTGGAGTAATCTTGCAATTTACCCCCATGACTTGTGCAAAAAGATTTGTACCCAAACCTTTTGAGGTGGAGCTGTCAGCGGCTCTCCCTAGTCTCAGCCTGTCTTGTTGGTGACCTTGGGGTTTGGGGGTTCTTACTTGTCCTAGAAGGATAGACTGCTGTCATAAGAGGCATTGGTCACTTTTGTTCTGTGGCCTCCTGCAGGACTAGTTAAACTCAGGGGCCTCGGAAAAAAGGCTGGGAGAATGGAAGCCTTCAGCAAATGCCGCACTTCTGGCAGTGCGTCTGCTGCTGTATTTGGAGTCAGGTTTCAGGGCTCCTGGATTGATCGCAGCTCAGCTCTGCAGAGACTGTCAGGTTCGTAGGCTGCCTCTATGGAACAGGCAGGCAGTCCTAAGCTACAGCTGCCTTTGTCTGTAGAATTTGAAAGGCCTGGAGGGACCGTAGGGTCAACAGAAGGAACCACAGAATGGTTTGCACCAAAGACCTGCCTCTGGCCTTCTGCCAGAAGCTTGTTGTAGCTAGAGGTAGAGTAATGTGAGTCCAGGGAGGAGCGAGACTGGCTAAAGTCTCCCAGGCTGGGCTATGTGAGAGAGAACGTTTGTGCCAGGCCAGCTGTTGGGTCCAGCTGTAGGACAGGCCTAGCCCTATAGCTGGGTAGTGCTGGGACCTGGCAGGGCATAGAGCCCGCACGGCAGTGAAGGGGCTGTGGAGCTGGTGGGCAGGGGCTCCTTTTAGATAACAGACACTAACATCGCTCACCCCAAAGAGGCAGTCACCCCTCCTCTCCTGGTTACCTGATTGCCAACGTTGCCATTAGAGGGTACCTTAGTTTGAGATACTATTCCAGAATACCACGGCTCAAACAGCAAACATTGCCTTCTCATAGTTTTCCAAAGGGCACTAATCCTACCAGAGGACTCCACCCTTGTGACCTAATCACCCCAACACCGTCACTGCAGGCACAGGACTTTGATCCACTCTCGTGACCTAATCACTCCCAACACCATCACTTCAGGACCAGGGTTTCAGCAGTGGAGTTTGGCGAACACTCAGTCTGTCTGTTGTAGAAATAATGCACAGTTAGCAGGAGATACTTGGGGACAAAGTGAGATATCTTTGAAGACCTCTTTGGTTAAGTTTAGTGGCAGCTTCTCAGGAGCCAAGTGCAAGGCAGGGCCTGTGCCCGCTGCTCCGCATTCCTGCCAACCTGACACCCAGTCTTTGATTGAACAAATGCCGATTTGTTGAGTAATCGGTGAACAAAGACAGATGGAACCTGGCACACAGGCCGCGAGTGGGCACCCGGAAACGCAGTGAGGAGTTTAGGGGCTCTGCTGCTGTGTTCACTGCTGGTCACACAGCATCTGGTCTCGGCAGATGCTCTGTGAGGACTGACCATGAGAGGAGACTAGGGACAAGCTATTTAATTAGAGGGTCAGAGAGGGCCTCTCTGAAGGGATGAAAAATGAGTTGAGCTCCAAATTGAAAGAAGGAGCCAGACGGAGAGCTCTGGGGCAAAGCAGTCTGAGCAGAGGGAACTGCTAGTGCCCAGACCTGGAGAGAGGAGAGGGATGGCTCACTGAGCAGCTAAAACAGAGGCTGGCGTCACAGAAGCATAAAAGAGGCCAATGGTGGGCCTGAGACATCATGGCCAAGAGCAGTTAGCACCCAGTGAAGGTCCTAGGCAGGGTGTGACACAGTCTGTCCATCTCGTGCTCTTGAAGATGACTGGCAGCCATGAGCAGAATGTGCTGAAGGGCAAGTGTAGGAGCAAGGAAGCCGTGAGGAGGCTGTTAGTTGTCCACCCAGAGGTGACAGGGATTGGACAAGACAAGGCTAGTGACGACGGGGGAAAAAACACACGCAGTCGACACCTAACAGAGACAGAACCTCTGGGGTCCACTCAGAGCCTCAGTGGAGAGCACGTACGCTCCTGGTCAGGCCCTCTGTGTCATTCAACAAGCATTGGCCTTCTTTTCTCACAGAGTCTAGGCTGTGCCCCTGTGGTCCTAAGCTGCATCTCTGTCCCTGAGCCAAATAGACTCTCAGACAGTATAACTTGGTAAAAAGCTGTCTTATTTTATCTTCTTACTGTATCAACAGAAACACTCCTGCCTCCAAATGAAAACATTGGCACATTCTGAGCTGAAAACCAAAGCCCAAATGCTTTGACATATTTTGCAGCAAATGCTGTCTGAGCAGAAACACCAAGAAGCATTTCTTTGGGACACTCTTGCCTGACCCTGGGGTTAGGAAGGATGAGGGATATAGAAAATCCCCCACCCAGAGCGGAGACTAATGAAACCCACACACTCCACTACTTGTCCCCCAATCCAAGCTAGAAGACCTTGGTCTCAGGGCCAGAAAGGCCAGACCCAGAGGCTGCTGGAGGGATGACCGGTAGCGACCTGGAGTGAAGTGACCCAGCCTCACCTCCTGGCCTCTCTATAAGCAGAGGAGCCACGAGGACCAGGCATACTTGTTCCCACTCATGCTAACAGACATCAGGAAACACTAGGAAAGGGCATGCACACCGGACATGCCAGGTAGTGTCAGCATGACAAAGAACACCCACTCTTGCTCCTTGGGTCCCCCACGTAATTCAGCTTCTCATACGTTTATTGAGCACTTATTTGAGGAGTCGATGTAGATCAGGGTGAATAGCAGTAACTCCAAATTCACATTTCCTAGGTTCAAATCGCAGGCCTAGCCACAGTTTTGGGAATGCCATTTATCTTCACATGCTGGTGGCCTCTTTTATAAAACAGGGGTAATAAAAATCTACCTTGTTGAGAGGACAAAGAGTTGGATCTCCCCCTGCCCGCCATGTGGTAACTGGCCCATGAACATCAACCTCTGTTACTGACAGATAGGTGCCTTCTGCGGCCAACTGCCTTCAGCCACCTTGGGCATGAATATTTATGGCCCATGACTAACCAAAGGACCGGCTCAGGGAACATGCCCATTGGTACACACACACACACACACACACACACACACACACACACACACACACACACACACAGTCTGTCTCTGCCTCCCTGCCTATCTGGGCCCTAGAGACTTTTCCTCATGCCCATAGTCTCCAGAGCACTGGTTCTGGAGTTCTGGAGAGTGGTTCAAGTGTGGCGCAGGGGAGTCGGGAATGAAGCTCCTTGCTTGCTGGGGGAGAAGACTAGGTACATGCCTGGGAGCCTTAGGTGGGGGCTGGGAGGTGACAGTTCATCTTCTAGGTTAGAGAGGCAGCTTAGCCTGCTTGATTATTTCAGAGTCCTGACAGGTGGCAGGTGCCTACTGGACCTCCCTTGGCACATGAGATCCTGTGGAAGAGGCACTGTCTCTGGCCTGGGAATGGGGATGTTGTAGAGTGTGTGTAGCCTGGTAGAGTGTGACTGTGGAATAAGGGCGAGTGATCTGGCTTACTGCCAGCTCAGGTGGCTCAGCTGGGAACCACCCACAGCTGCTTTCTTGGCCTCCCTTGGCAGACTGTAGCCTGTACTGTCAACAGAATACCCAGCTGAGCACGCCACTGCCCAATTAGGATGCCCACTACTTCCATGGGGCACCCATATACTCAGACCCACAGGTAGCCTGTGGAGCTGGGTCAGGGTGAGGGTCAGCAGGAAGGAAGCTAAGGCTATTGTCTAGACAGGAGGATGTAGAGGTGTGGGAGGCAGGCGCATGCCCTGATCTGCTGTGAGACAACCAGAGGGTTCCCTGGTCACAGTGCTGCAGCAGTTCTGGCCATCCCTTTGGGAAGAAAAGGACTCCAGGCCAGCTGAGAATCCCATGGCCCATGCCCTTGTCTCTGAGAGTCCAGCCGGAAAAGCGGGGCCTACATTGCACCCTCCTCTCTGCCTTGGGATCTGTGTAGCTTGATGAAGAACAGGTGGGCTCCTGTCAGCATCACTGCTGCCTCCATTCTGGATGGCAGAGAGCACCAGCTGCATCGGGAAACCAAATCCCACTGAGAGAGACGGACTTTTTTTTTTTTTTTTTTTTTTTTTGAGACAGGGTCTCATGTGCCCGGCTAGCTCAGTCGGTAGAGCATGAGACAGGGTCTCATTATGTAGCTCCAACTGTCCTCAAACTCAGGATCTTCTTGCTTCTGCCTCCTGACTGCTGAGTTAACCCAGCCTTGCAAGTAAAAAAACTGAAGACCAGAAAGTGAGTGGCCCAGTGAACAAGGCCAAATAAGACAGCGGTGTCTCCTGCACAGCACAGCGGCCACCAGGGAGCAGAAGAGTCTCCCGTGAGCTTCTGTCTCCCATGTCCCCTCCAGCACCAACTTACAGTCTCTCTGAGCCCATCTCCTCTACATGCTTGTTCCTTTTTTCCTGAAAAGACTTAGAAAAATGAAAAATTCCACACTCACAGCAAAGATTCAAGAAAAATATAAAGAACTTCTGTGCTCCCCTCACAGAGCCTGCCAGCCAGCATTCTGTTCATGTGCTCAGTGCAAGCTTCTTCTCTGTGCACACATACTCAAGTGGACAGTCATGTCCTAAACCACGAGTGCATTGCAGACATGACGTCTCTTTGTTCCTGAATGGTTTGCTCTATTTTCCTAAAATAAGGATGTACTTGGTATCCATAGCACCATTGTCAAGAACAGCAAAATGTTGTTTTTGAGATGGACTGCTTCTGTAACCAAGACTGGCCTATGACTTCTGGCTCCCCTGCTCTACCTCCGGAACCCTGGGATGGCAGGTGGGTACCACCACGTCTGGCTGGAATCAGAAACTTCAACAGGGATCCAGCCCTGGGAGCACTCTGATCCATGGCTTTATTCACAAATATATCTGTCCCCGAAATGTCCTTTAACGATAAA